ACTGTCGCGGACTCCGGGGTGCTGCTGGAGCTGCTGGCGTTGGTCCTGCTGGAGGTGCTGCTGGTGCTGCTGGAGGTACTGGAGCTGCTGGTGCTGCTGTGGGTCCAGGAGCTGTTGGGCCTGGAGGTGCTCCTGGCACTGGAGCTGCTGGCGGTGCTGGAGCTGGCGGTCCTGCTGGTGTTGGCACTGGAGGTGCTGCTGGCGCTGGTGCTTCTGAGGGTGCTGGAGTTGGCGCTACTGGAGGTGGAGGTGCTGCTGGTGTTGGAGCTGGCGGTGCTGCTGGCGCTGGTGCTTCTGAGGGTGCTGGAGTTGGCGCTGCTGGAGCTGGAGGTGCTGCGGGCGCTGGTGCTGCCGCTGGGGGTCCTGGTGCTGTCCCTGCTGTTTCTGGAGTCGCTGCGCGGCCGCGGCCGTACTTCGTTCCGCTCCTTGAGCAGGTTCTTGGTCTCCCGCCTTCTAGTGGTCCTCCTCCTCCCTTAGAGTGTCCACAGCCTGACCAGTTGCAGTCACAGTTACAGCCCGCCTCCCCACTGCCTGCTCCTTCTCCCTATACTGGTCCTACTGGAGGTCTTGCTGAGCGTCGTGCGCCTGCGTCTCGTCCTGCGTCGCCTGTTCGTACTGCTCGCACTAGTCGTCGTGTTCCGCGTCAGCGTCCTCCTGCGGTCTCGGGCACGCACCAGATGGCACTGCGTCCTTCCACTGCTCCGCAGCGTGTCCCTTTGCCGTCTCCTCCTGAGTCCTCTCTTCCTGCTCTTCCTGACCCGGAGTCGGACTCTCTTCGTGCTGCCAGTCCTACTGTCACGCGTCTCCTGGCTACTGTTGTCACTGACCCTTCCTTTGAGTCCACTGCTGCGTCTGCCTTAGTTGCTGAGTTGGTCGACTTCGCTGCTCACTGTCGTCTAGACTACGCTGCTAGTCTTATTGCTGAGTCTGAGTCTGTCTGTCCTCCGTCCGTCGGGGGTGAGTGTGCTCTTAGCACGGACGTCCTTGAGGACAGGCAGGAGGAGTTCCAGTGTTTTGCTGCTGCTTTGCTTGACTGGCCTTGTGACCCCTTGTTCTCCCCCACTTTGCCTATGGGGGTGTGTCAGACTTATATGCTATAGTCTGTGTAGGCTGTAGTGGGGTAGACAATATGGGGTACAACACTTTTAGGTCATCCTACTTGTACCCACCTGTTTCCTAGTGCATTCACTCCTTGTTCTTTCACATCGCCACGATCTTCTTTGAGTTTATTTCCACGCCGTTGGGTGAAGCAATATGGCCCAAAAACTCCAGCCTGTCCTGTAAAAACTCACACTTAGAGGCTTTGGCCAGTAGGCAGTTTCTTCCTAGGATCTAAAAAAATGCTTCGATGCCCTATATGTGCTGTGCTCTGAACTGAGCTGTAGGTCATGATATCGTCTAAGTAGACGATACTTATCTAAGAGTTGGCAGAAGGCTTCGTTCATGGTCATTTGAAATGTGGCGGGGGCGTTGGCCAGTCCGAAGGGCATGACGGTGTATCCGAATGAGCCGTAGCAGGTGCGAAAAGCGGTTTTCGGGCAGTCGGGTAGGTTTACACGGATTTGATGGTAACCCCTTCGGAGGTCGATCTTCGAGAAAACACGGGCTGTGCGAAGTTGATCAATGAGTTCATCGTCTTGCGGAATAGGGTAACGGGACTTGATCGTAACCCTATTCAGTATGCGGTAATATATGAACTGTCAAAAGACTAGGCAAGAATCAGAAACAGGAAAGAGGATTTTCACTAGCAGGCAGTTGAGTACATATAGCAAACCCTAATTCAGGCTGTACTCGCTATAGAGTACCCCACTGCAAGCTAGACAAACATCACATTCTGACACACCCCCATAGTCAAAGTGGGGTATAATCAGTACAGCAAGCAGGCAGAGCAGTAGGTTCACAAATACAAGCAAAGCTAGAGGCAGTCACAGAGGGCAAGTGAGGAGGAGGAGGAACTGTGAGAGGAGTGGAGATAGGAGGCGTTTGGTGAAGCCGCAGACACACGGGCAACAAGAACGGCGCGCACGGTGGCTACCGGAGCACTCAACCTCCGGACTACAGGAGTGATTGGCTCCGCGCTAAGCAGCAGCAGGAGCAACAGACCCACGGGCGACTGGCAGCAGCAGGCTCGCTGGGCTACCGGAGTACTCAACCCCCGGACTACTGGCGCTGCTGACGTCACACCGGCTACCTCCGGTCAACCTCCCCCAACTGTCCCACACCCCTTTCATACACTCCCTGCTGTACCCCTAGCATTGCTCACACGCCACCCCCCTCGTACCACTCCGACGGCTCCAACACATCCACCCCCCTCAGCGGCAGCTGCAGCAGTGGGAGACGGAGGAGGAGGAGGAGCAGGGGACGGCGCACACACCCTTCACCCCCATACTCGCCACCCCCACACTCGCCACCCCCACACTCGCCACCCCCAAACCCTAACACAGGCAGCAGCGGGGGGCGGTGCGCGGGCAGCAGCTCGGAGGATGGTGCGTGGCTCGGGCGCAGGCTGTACGGGCCGCGCACGGGCCTGGCGCGGGCCGTACGAACCGCGCGCGGGCTGTACGGGCCGCGCGCGGGCCTGGCGCAGCCCGTACGAGCCGCGCGCGGGCCTGGCGCAGGCCATACGAGCCGCGCGCAGGCCTGGCGCAGGCCGTACGGGCCGCGCGCGGGCCTGGCGCAGGCCGTACGGGCCGCGCGCGGGCCTGGCGCAGGTCGCGCGGGCCGCGTCGGGCGACGGGGGGCGACGCGCGGGTCCCCGGGGGCGCCTCGACGGGCGACGAGGCAGGAAACCGCCGCGCGCCCCGAGCGCGCGGCAGGAAGAAAAAAACGCCGCGCGCCTGAGCGCGCGGCACGCAGCAAGCATCGCGTACGCAGAGCGTGCGATAGGCAAGACAGCAGCGGAAGCATCGGGTGGGACCACCCACAGGATCGTCCAAGGAGGGTCGGCCTGCTCTGATAGCATGTCAAAAGACTAGGCAAGAATCAGAAACAGAAAAGAGGATTTTCACTAGCAGGCAGTTGAGTACATATAGCAAACCCTAATTCGGGCTGTACTCGCTATAGAGTACCCCACTGCACGCTAGACAAACATCACATTCTGACATGAACATGTGAAATCCCCCATCTTTCTTCAATGTGAACAGTATTGGCGTGGCGAAGGGTGACGAACTCGGGTGAATAGTTTTTGTACTCGTGCAAGCTGCTTCCATAGTTCTTCAGTTCAGGTTGGGTAAGTCGAAACTATCACTGTACTCTCGGCTGTGTCCCCGGTTCTAACTCTATGCTGTGGTCATGCGGTCGCTGAGGTGGCAGTCCTTCCGGTAAGTCATCCGGAAAGGTTCCAATGTACTGCTTCAGTATCGATGCCAAGTCATCCGTTACGTCGGCTGGCAGTTTCTGCAAATCACTAGGTTTGTCTGTTGCCTCGGCTCTATTTCGACACCTTCACCACCTCCCCACCGTTCCCCGCCCCCGCCGCAGCCATTGTCATAGTTTTTACCATCACCAGCGTAGTCCTCGAAGTAGCCACAGCAACCTTTGTCGCCACTGCAGCCTTCGTCGCAGCAGCAGCCTTCGTTGCTGCCGCAGCAGTCGTCACTTCCGCGGCTGATCTCCGAGGACTCTGAAGGTGTTGCTGCTGGACGTGCAGGTTTAGGGGGTGCTGCCGGTATGGGTGCCGGCTCTTGGGATGTTGTTCTTTGGGGTGTAGACGTTGGGAGTCCACACCATATTTTCCAACCTTCGGTCCCACGTTTCCTCCCTTGGTCTCGTCTCCGGCTCGTCTCTCTCCTCATTCACACATGTCTCCCCTTTTTTTTTACTCGTCTCGTGCCTCCCACTACTGGGGTCGGCGTCTCTTTCGTGCTCGCCCAGTGTCCTCCATTCCTAGTATCCAGTCCATGCTCTTCTGTTCGCGCCCCCCTGATGTTCCTCCACCCGCTGTACTCCCGTCGCCTCCTCCGCCGTTCCTGTTCTCTCTTCCAATCCGTTCTCTGACTTTATCGGGGCCGCTCGCGCTGTGATCATTTTCAATACAAATTATATATTTTCTTGCTCTCTGTCCTCCTTATATTACATAATTCCCACTCATTTTTTATTCTCCTCTCTTTTCACCCCTTTTTCCTTCCCATTTCTAGTCATCTCCCCATTTCTCGTCCTTGATAGGAGCAATATAATAGATGCATTATATTGATGAAGTAGAAGATGATGCGAGATTTGCGTGACGCTTTAGCGAGATTTTGAGTCAGGTTCTGATGCTCGCGACTGGTCGTTGAACTACGCACCCGCGACACCGATCGCGGAGCCTACCTCCACCGTTTCGGGCGAGGCTAAATGACATTGCCTGTTTTGGAGGTGCCAGCTATTTTTCTGTCGGTCCGGTACGGTTGAGAGGTGCTCCGATTGGATTAGGTTGAGAGGTGATGGACAGATGATGCTTCTCCACTATTAGTAGTGCCCACTAGTACTAGAGCAAGGCAGTTAACAAGTTGTGGCTTTAAATCGAGGTTTTAGTGCTGTGAAACACGAGCGAGAAGGCAGTAGCACGAGGATTGCGTGGTTGCAGCAAAGGAAACGTGTTTCGCGCTCGCAATGCGTGTGCCGCGGGGATCAGCGTGCGCGTCGCGACACGGATGACCGCACACTGGTCGTGCAGCAACGGAGTCTCTTTCCACTTGCGAACCAATGAATTTCGCAGCTCGCGCGTAGCGCGCCATCTCTTTCGTCGCCCCAATCGCGATTGGCGACTCACCGGGTCCAGCAGAGTCGCAGAAGAACCCTCCTCTCCGCGGCATCCACGTCAGCATCTAGGTTTGCTGTCCGTTCGCGACGCGCATGAGCCAATGGGCTCTCCTGCCCCTCCTCGCATTCCTAGACGCGTTAGATGATCCTTGAGCCGATCCGAACCCATTTCCACCGCCTACCAACCCCCCCACCCTGACCCCCTTTCCTAATCATCCCTACCCGCATTCCCCGCTCCCCTGGCCATCGTCCATCCCGCCATGCCGAGCCAATCCCGGGGGCGGCACGTCGCTTCGCCGTCCGCCGCCCCCTCCCGCGCGGGCGGGCGCGCGGACGCGCAGTGGGACGCGCACTGGGATCCGCCGGCGTTCCGCCGCTGGCTGCTGGGCTTCGCGGCGGTGCGCTTCGACCTCGAGCAGGGTCAGCTCGTCGAGGCGCTCTTCCCCGCGGGCGCGCTCAGCGCGGAGGAGGAGACTGACGTGGCGTTCTCGTCGTTCCCCGACTCCATGTCCGCCGTGCACTCGCGCGCCTCGCTCTACGACTGCCTCTTCTTCTTCCGCATCCGCCGCCGCGGCGTTCCGCCTGCCCTCGCCGCCACGAGCGGTGGGGTTGATAACGGGGCGGGCAGCAGCGGCGACGGCACGGGGGAGGGGGCTGGGCGGAGTGCGCTCGCCGCGCAATCTCCGCTGCTGCAGCAGCAGCACGTGCACACTAGTGTCGGTCTGGGGGCAGCAGGGGGAGCAGCCACGCGGGCGACGAGTCGGGCAGAGCGGTCCGCCGCGTCCGCGCGGAGGCAGTCCGCCAGCCCGCCGCGGTGGGACCCGGGAACCAATCGCGCGACAACACCTGGCACGACCCCGCGGCGAGGCATTAGCGTGGGGCACGGCGGGGGGCCGGCGGGGGCGATGGCGGAGAGCATCAGCGCGCCCGCGTCGTCTCTCACCAGCCCCACGGGGCTCGTCGCCGCCGCCGCCTCGCCCTTCGCGCGGCTCGACAGATGCGCCACGGAGCCGCTCGCGGGCGGCGAGGGGGGAGACGAGGCGGAGGTACAGTGGCGCGCGCAGGCGGGGGCTGGCGCGCTGAGACACTCCGCCAGCGCGCGGGGGAGCGCGGGGCAGCGGGAGGAGGAAGCGGCGGTGGGCAGATCCGCGTCCATGGGGGCGGGGAGACGCGCGATGCCCGCGCACAGCCAAGACGAGGACGACCGAGGGGGGGACGGCGGGTCTGGGGGCGGAGCAGTAGCAGCAGGGGGGGCGGGGAGGGGCGGGGCGCGATACCTGTACGGGTTTGTGTTCAACCGGCAGCGGCACGACGAGAGGCTGCCACGGGGCGGCGTGCAGAAGTCGGTGGTGGTGCTCTCCGAGCGCCCCTTCTCCGCCGCCTTCCGCCGCCTCGCCCAGGTCGTCGGCCCGCTCTACTTCGACCGCGGACCAATCGCGTTCGTCCAGGTGGCCGCGTGGGTCTCCCTGTGGCCTGCGCCGCACCAGCCGAGCGTGGTGGGCGGCGGGGGAGTGGGCGGGGCGGCGGGCGGCGTGATGGAGCTGCCGGTGGGGCCGCGCACGTCCCTACGCGTGCAGCTGCCGCCCGCCCACACACTGCCGCCCGCGTCGCACTCGGCGCTGGACGACTTCACGGCCGCCATGGCGCCCGCCCCCCTCTCCACCTCCGCGCCCCAGGTCAGTCACCCGCCCAGCTGAGCCGCCCAGGTTAGGTCATGCCAGACAGGCGCACAGCAGGTAGCGCACAGCAGGTAGCGCACAGCAGGTAGCGCACAGCAGGTAGCGCACAGCAGGTAGCGCACAGCATGTAGCGCACAGCATGTAGCGCACAGCATGTAGCGCACAAGCATACCCACACGCGCCCTCCCTACACCACCCCCCATGCCCCCTCCATTCGTTCCCACTGGTCATGCCAGGTAGGTAACACCACCGGCAGCACAGCATCAGCCCGCACCACACACTCATACCCCCCATATTCTTTTTCTGATTCTGATCTATCTTTTTATCTTTTCTTAAAAAGACAAAAAAACATTAACAGTATAGAAATAGATTAAAAAGTCATTAATGGAAACATGCTTAGCTTAACAAACTGTGAACACTACCAAATAGAAAATGGTAGTGTTCCCCGAAGCCAATGTTTTCAACACTGCACCTCCACTTACCCCTCACTCCATACACCGTTTTCCTTTCACCTCCCAATCACCCCTCCATCCATTCACTCACCTTCCCCATGCGGCCCCCTTCCCCCTCCTCTCTCATCTGCAGTCCCAAGAAGGGTGACGTGCTAGGCTCATCCCACCCCTCCATGCACCCGCCCCATGCCGCAACCCCGCAGGGCATATTCCACGACGCGGACGTGTTTGGCATCCTGCGCGGGGTGGCGGCGCAGCTGTGGGTGCTGTGGGAGCTGCTGCTGCTGGGCGAGCCGCTGCTCGTCATCGCCCCCACGCCCGCGCAGTGCTCCGAGGCCGTCGCCGCCCTCGTGGGGCTCATCGCGCCCCTGCCCTGCTCGCAGGACTTCCGCCCCTACTTCACCATCCACGACCCCGACTTCCCCGCGCTCAACGCGCTGAGGGACGGCGACGCGCTGCCCGCCGTGGTGCTGGGGGTGACGAACCTCTTCTTTCTGAAAGCGCTCAAGCACCTGCCGCATGTGCTGTCCGTGGGGCGCCCTCCGCACGGCGGACAGGGCGTGGCGGGGGCGGCGCGGTACGGGGCGGGGGCGGGCGGCAGCTTGCAGCCGAACGGACAGGTGGCGGTGAGGGAGAGCACGGGGCGGCTGCCACATCAGCAGCAGTCGCCGCTGCGACGCCTGGCCACTGGCGGGCTGCTGAGGTAGGGGGCTGGGGGGGGAGGGTGTGAGGCATGGTGAGGCAGCGCAGGCATGGTGAGGCAGAGCAGGCATGGTGAGGCAGCGCAGCGCAGGCATGGTGAGGCAGAGCAGGCATGGTGAGGCGGAGCAGGCATGGTGAGGCAGAGCAGGCATGGTGAGGCAGCGCAGGCATGGTGAGGCAGAGCAGACTGCTGAGGTGAGGCATGGTGCTGAGGGTGGCGGGCAGACGTGGTGTGTGTGTGGGACTGCTTTGGCTGAGGGGCAGACAGGGGTGCTCGAGTGGCGCGGCAGCAGCAGCCCCTGCTGCCGTGCCTAGCAGCGGAGCATTCAACCCCCACCCATTGCCCACCCATTGCCCTGTGTGTGCTCTCAGGCTGTGGACGATGCAAGGTTGAGTCCAGTCAATGCTGTCTTACACCGCTCCTTTCCCTCCCCTCCTCTCCTTACTCCCACCCTCGTCCATCCCCATCCAATTCCATCCATCTGCACCCACGCCTGTCCGGGCAGCATGCTGGCGGCGGGCAGCAAGGGCTTGGCGCGCATGAGGGGGGAGGGGCCGCTGTCGCTCATAGGGGAGCACAGGGAGGCGCTGTGGACCAATCACGTGCCGGCAGTCAAGCCCGACACCGCTGTGCTCAACCGCCTTCTAGACGCCTCCACTGCTCTGCACCCCTCCGCCTCCCACCGCACTCACCGTTCCGGCTCCTCCGCCACCAATGCTGCTGATGCTGCTGCCTCCCCTGCTGACGCCACCTCTCTCGCCTCTGCTGCTGCAGCTGCTGCAGGGGTGGCAGCAGGAGGAGGGACAGGCGGGCGCCCTGCATCGGCGTCTGCCCCCCCGTCCGCCGCGGCGTCTCTCTTCAGCCTGCCGGGCGCCGTGGCGGGCTCGCTGCTGGCGGGCGTCACAGGCATGCCAGGGCTGGACGATGCGGCAGAGGGCAGCACAGGGGGAGGGGGAGGCGGGGTGGGGGCGCGGGGGGCGGGGGTGAGCGGGGAGACGGTGGCGATGGTGAACAACGAGGTGCTGAGGCGGCACTTCATCGAGCTCACCACCAACTTCCTCGCCCCCTTCGGCCCTTTCCTCCGCGCCGCCGCCCCGCCGCCCGACGCCTCGCCCTACTGCGACCCGCCGCCGCTGCCGCCCTTCGACGCCGCGGAGTTTCTCGGGCAGCTTGCCGCCCGCGGCCCGGGGAAGTTTCTCGCGAAGCGGCTGCAGGCGGGCAGGTGGCTGGAGGTGTACAGAAGGTTCCTGGAAGGGCCGAACTTCATGCCGTGGTTTCAGCGGCGGCGCGCCGTGGCGGAGGCGGAGCAGCACCGGCTGTGGCGGGCGGCGCGGCTAAGGGCGGACGTGAGGAAGGCGGTGGGGGGCATGGGCGAGGCAGACCTGGTGGAGGCGTTCCTGTGCGTTGAGAGGCACATGGCGGTGGAGAGCAAGGTGAGGCACATGGCGGTGGAGAGCAAGGTGAGGCACATGGCGGTGGAGAGCAAGGTGAGGCACGAGGGTGGGTGCTGTGTGTGTGTGTGTGTGTGTGTTTGGTGTGGTGTGGTGGGGTGGGGTGGTGGTGGGTGTATGTATGGATGTGCGCATCTCAGCATATTCACCCATTCTTTTTCAAAACCAGCTTCACCCTGGTGTGCATCCTCTCTCCCCCCCTGCCTTGCATCCCCCCCTGCCTTGCATCCCCCCCTGCCTTGCATCCCCCCCTGCCTTGCATCCCCCCCTGCCTTGCATCCCCCCCTGCCTTGCATCCCCCCCTGCCTTGCATCCCCCCCTGCCTTGCATCCCCCCCTGCCTTGCATCCCCCCCTGCCTTGCATCCCCCCCTGCCTTGCATCCCCCCCTGCCTTGCATCCCCCCCTGCCTTGCATCCCCCCCTGCCTTGCATCCCCCCCTGCCTTGCATCCCCCCCTGCCTTGCATCCCCCCCTGCCTTGCATCCCCCGGGCACGGTGTGTGTGAGCGCATGAGCAGGCGTGGCGGAGGGCGGGCGAGTCCCCTGCAGTGGGCAAGCTGAGGGGCGACCTGCGCGTGCTCTGGGCGCACATGCCGCCCGCCACGCAGCGCCTGCTGCTCCTCTCCCCCGCCCACGCCGCCTCTCTCCAGCTGCCGCCCTCCGCCGCCCCTGAGGATGCTGGGCGGGGCTCGTCGGCGGTTTCTGGGAGTGGTGAGTCAGGAGACGCTCGGTGGGGGCAGCGGGCGAGTGAGGGCGCGGGGAGTGGCAGGGAAGGGGGGAGTGGAGCAGCAGCGGCACAAGGAGCAGCGGCAGCGGCAGGGGGGAGGGGAGGCGGGTGGGCTGGTTGGTTGTTTGGGAGGAGGACCGTGGAGAGCTCGGGGAGTGGGAGTGGTGCAGGGGAGAGGCGGGTGACAGCAGGCAGTGATGGGGGGCGGAGAGAGGAGGCAGCAGAGGAAGCAGGGGCAGCAGAGGAAGCAGGGGCTGCAGAGGAAGCAGGGGCAGCAGAGGCAGGGCTGGGAGGATCAGCTGGGACTGCTGCCACAGCTGCGGCTCCTGGTTCCGCTTCTGCAGGGTTGGACCACAACGCCAGCTCAGGTGATCTGTCAGGTGATTCTTCAGGTGGTGTGGGCGGCAGCGGGGGGCAGAGTGGAACGGTGGAGATGGTGGAGGCAGCGCAGCACCTCTCAGCACTCGTGGCCAATCTCAGCCTGCCACCTGTCATCGCCCTCAACGGCGAATCACACCCCTCATCCAACCCTGGCAAAGCCTGGTCCGAAGCTTCCAGCCCTCCCCGAGGCTCCTCTGCAGGCTTGGGCCGAACATCAAGCGGCGCTTCTCCACGAACGGCCGGAATTGGGTGGGGAACGGACATGTGGGACGGCAGCAGCGTTGGCTTGACGAGCAGCAGCGCCCGGAGCAGCACGCCTGCCCACCCTGCCTCCACCGCCTCCAGCAGCACCACCAGCACGGGCATCGGCAGCGCAGCACACGTGGCGGGTGCACGGTTCGCCGTGTCCCCCGTGGTGCCGTTTGGGCGGCGCCCCGGGCTGTCAGTGGGGCGCACGCCGCCACGCCTCTCGTCCTCCGCGCCCGGCACGCCCCTCCACCTGCACCCGGGAGGCACCTTCCTGCACGCCCGCCCTGTCCCCGCACACGCCGCCGCGCCGCACCCAGGAGGCAGGTACACAGGCGGGGGTGGCGCAGGGGCGTTAGGCGGCGAGCGGTTGAGTGCGTGTGCGAGCGCAAGGGAGGAAGCGGGGAGCGGAGGGGTGGGGGGCATGGAGGGCGGGGGGGCCATGGAGGGCGGGGGGGCCATGGAGGGCGGGGGGGTGAGGGTGGGGCGCACGGCCACGGAGCCGGTGCTGCCGTCCTCCTTCCACCCGCTCGCTTGATGCGCCTCCCACGCCATGCCTCGCCCCGTTTGGGTAGGGGGCTGGCAGACTGGCGCACAGAGATGGGAGATGGGTGCGGTGCTGCTGCTGGGATGGGCGCTACTCACTGCTCCCAGTGCCGCTGACCACAGCAGCAGCACTGCACGCTGTGGCAGAGCGTGGCCGTTGGTAGTTCTGCCCGGGCGGTGCTGTGGCTGGCGCCCGCGCTCTCCAATACTACACATGGCACCATTTATTGCGTCGGCTGGAGGTCACATTGTAGAACACCAGTAGTGAGTGCATATATTAGAGATTAAAGGGAATGCTGAGAAGGTGCATGCCTCGTGTCGCCTCCTGTATGCCACAGCGCTTGTGAGTGCCTGGCGCACAGGGGAGCAGGGGATTGGAGGGAAAGTGGGTGGCAGCAGGAATTTGTCTACTTGCCGTCCACTTGTGAAGTGCAGTGGGAAGATCGTCCATTCCATAAAGAGGGCGTAACTTCTAGTTTCACTACCGTGCTCACAAAGTGGATTTAGCGCCAACTTTGGAAATCTTAGTGCTCTCTGGTTTGAGAGTTTTTGAATTGGTCAGCGTTGGGCTGAGAAAAGCCCTTAGGATCTTTTTAAGGCTAAACTCTGAGTAGAATTGTTGTATTTGCAGAAGCGTTTTTTATGATAAGTGTTGAACCACCTTGCGCTAGTGTGTGAGGGCAAGATAGATTGATTATAGAAAAGTAATACAAGCTTTTATAAGATTACAAGGAATATGAAATGGTGCAACTAATAACTGTTTTACTGTTGCTGTTGCGGTTCGATACAGTGACGACTCGGGCGGGCAACTGCTCAGTATCGATTCAGTTGTTTGTCCTTGCTGTCGCGCTGTATTTATCAAGTCAAAAGTCGCTGACTTTTGACCTTCACGTAACCTCCAGCAGTTTGTCAACCTCCAATGGTTGACTCGCTGTTGCTTCATTGCTATTTGCTTCATTTACAGTTCGATGTTCCGACACATCAGAAGCGTTAAGTTACTTGTTTCCAACACTCCCCTTCGCTTCTGGAGTGTCGCTGCTCGTGACGTGGCCTTGTCCAGTCAGCAGCATGCAGTACTCAAACTTCTGTTTTCCGAGCTTCTTGGTCAAATAGTCGGCTGCCATCTCGGTCGTGGGACAGTAAGATAATTCAAGTCTCCCCTTCTCGATCTCGTCTTTCACGAAGAAGTATCGCAGGGCGATATGCTTCTGTCAAAGGTCCACTGGTGATCCCCGATCGATCCTAGGGAAGGGTTACAGGCACGCCGGCCTGGGGGGTTATGGGCGCACTCACCCACTATGTAAACAAGCCCTTTTATCCCAATGGTTTAGTGGTTGGGATTCTGACATGGTATCAGAGCGAAGGTCTCGGGTTCGAATCCCGGTGTGTGCACTTCGGGCACCCCAGTGCGGGGGGGTGTCAAAGGTCCACTGGTGATCCCCGATCGATCCCAAAGAAGGGTTACAGGCACGGCCGCCTAGGGGGTTATGGGCGCACTCACCCGCTATGTAAACAAGCCATTTTATCCCAGTGGTTAGTGGCTGGGATTCTGACAGCTTTGTCCGGTTCGCGAACCCGTTCTTGTTTGCTATGCGAATTACGGATTGGTTGTCGCAGAACAGAGTGAAGCTGGGTAACTGTGCCAACTTCGCTTCTTCCAGCATTTCGCGAATGTACAAGCCTTCCTTGGTGGCTGAGCAGAGTGCAATATATTCTGCTTCAGCTGAGGAGAGAGCGATTAGTTCCTGCTTGCTTGACTGCCACGAGATAGGCCCGATAGGTTCGAGTCGGTAGATGTAGCCCGTGCATGAGCGCCTGTTGTCTGCGTCGCTGGCGTGGTCAGCGTCTACATAGCCGATTGGCTTAGGTGCCGAGGTTCCGTTTTTGTGGTAGGTCAGGCCGATTGTCGAAGTGCTGACGATGTAGTGGAGTGCGCGGTCGAGTTCCGCCATGTGTTCTGCTTCAGGTTTCTTGAGGTAGGTGGCGAGCTGGCTTGCCGAATATGATAGGTATGGTCGGCAGGTGACGGCTGCGAATAGTAGACATCCTAGCTTTCGCTGATAGTCGCGTATGCCGGCAGGCTTGAGTGGTGCTGAGATTCCTTCGTGGCTCGCGGAGGTGTAGCGGTACGGTGTGGAGATAGCAGTTGGAGTTAGTCCAAAGCGTTTGGCGATGGTGCCGGCGTATTTTGCGGCGCTGAGATAGATCGTGTTCTCTTCTTCCTGTATGTTCAGCCCGAAGTATTGTGTCACGGTGGATGAGACGGTGAGCGTTAAGTCCCGCTGTAGTTCCCCTTCGAACCAGGTTGTGAGGCCGTCGGTTGAGCCGATGTAGAGTAGGTCGTCCACGTAGACGATCAGCATGATGTAGTCAGTTCCTTTCGTGAGCCGGTACATTCCTTGATCGTGCGGCAGTTGTCGGAATCCGATGCGGATTAGCCGCGCGTGTAGATACTGCTGCCAAAGTCTCGGGGCTTGTTTAATGCCATACAAGGACTTTAGTAGCTGACAGACTTGGTTGGGGTGTGCATTGGAGCCGTGCGGTTGCTCGACGAAGATTTTAGCATCGACGGGTGCGTAGAGAAATGCGTTGGCGACGTCGATTTGACGAAGCTTTTTCCGCTTCATGGCGGCAATCGCGAGGAGAATCCGCAGTGAGGTGTGCCGACTAATAGGTGCGAATGTTTCAGTGAAGTCTCGTCCGTGCTCTTGGTCAAAGCCACGTACGACCCAGCGTGCCTTGAATTTGTCGATGGTGCCGTCTGCCTTTGTTTTCACCCGAAAAGCCCATTTGCCAATGAGAATGGTCTTGTTCCGTGCCACACCGATAGGTACGACCTTCCAGGTGTTGCATTCTTCGAGTGCCTTTAACTCCCTGTCCATGGCCTCGCGCCATTTTTCCCTGTGCTCCCCCCCAGAGCCCGCTGAACTGTGGCAGGCTCCTTAGGTGGCGCCGTTCCATGGACTGCGGTGACGAGTCCGAGTATCTGGAGTCCACTATGTGAGTAGCGGGGAAGATTTGCATCCTCGGGATAAGCTGCTTCGTCTCCCGCTTCTGCTTCGTCGGTGTTGACTCGTGCGGGTGTAACGTAACCGTTGTCGACGAAGTCGTAGAAGACTTCGGCGTTGATGCTTTCGCGAGGGTTGTCGTCATCCATTGGGATGTCCACCGAACAGTAGGGAAGAGGTCCGGCTTCTTCCGAAGCTCTGTCCACGTTCTGCTCGTCCCAGTCAGCTTCATCTGCTGCCGAAGCGAAGGCTCGGTTTCCAAGTTGTACAGGTACGTCGGAAGAGTGAGACGTTCGTAGAAGATCACGTCACGTGCTGCTACTGTTTCCTTTGTGTGGACGTCGAAGATCTTCCATACGTTGTAGTGTTTTTCGATGCCCAGGTGTACCCCCCACTGTGCGCGTTGGGAGAAGCAACCTGCTCGTGCAGCTGGGGGTCGGTACTGTACCATGCAGCCGAACACTCGTAACATTTTTGTGTTGCCCAATTTTCCTGTCCACATCAGATGTGGTGATGCGTTGTTCGGGAGCGATGATGACGAAAGCAAGTTGTGCAGCATGACGGCATGGTCCATCGCCTCAGGCCACTGGTGGTTGGGTAGCCGCATGCCACGTAACAGTTTGCGCATGGTGTTCTGGAGGGCCCTGTTCATTCTTTCTGCCACGCCTTGCTGTTGATGAGCGTAAGGAAGGGAGATGAGCCGCTTGATGCCTCTCTCTGCCAAGTACTGCGTGAACCTCTGTGACTTATATTCCCCTCCCCCGTCTGACTGGAAGCTTTTCAGCTTCACTCCTGATTCTCGTTCTGCTACTGGAAGCCAAGCGACGAAAGCTTCGAAGGCCATGTCGCGACTCGGGAGGTTGAGGTGCCATACGTATCGTGTGGCGACGTCGATGAAGGTGATGACGTAGTTGTATGCTCCTTGACTCGGTTCACAGTTATACAGTATGTCACTGTACACCTTCTCCAGAGGTGTGTATGCCGGCGCACTTGGGTTGTGGTGTGAGGCGAACGGCTGGTGCGGTAATCGGCTTCAGGGCAGGTGAAGCATGTTCCTCGAACTCGTTGGAGTTCTCTGCCGTCGGGTAGGAGTAGCGAGTCTTTATCGAGTACTCCTGCTCTTATCGTGTTGTTCAGCACTGTGTTACTGGGATGTCCTAACCTTTGGTGCCATAAAGATTCGTCGACGCGATGTCCAGGTGAACGCCTGTACAAGTCGGAGTTGGAGTAAAAACCGACGGTGAAGTTCGCGCTTCTGTGGACTTCTCGTGGAGTGGGATTCAACTGCTGCGCAGGAGCCGGTGGAGTATCGTCGGTTGAAGCTGGTGCTGTTGAAGGACCCGCCATTGGTGTCGTGATTGGTGTTGTCTCTGCTGCTGCCAATGTTGTCTCTGCTGCTGCCGATGTTGTCTCTGCTGCTGGCGATGTTGTCTCTGCTGCTGCCGATGCTGTCTCTGCTGCTGCCGATGTTGTCTCTGCTGCTGCCGATGTTGTCTCTGCTGCTGCCGATGTTGTCTCTGCTTGTTTGATTTTCGCTAATGCTCCTGTTCGTTTTGCCTCAGGTACCGTGTTCGAGTACCAGAAGCCGCCGGGGCTGAAGTTGGGGTCGAGATCCGGCGGATGTGTCCAAGGGGCGAAGGTGACGATCCCGTCGCTGTCGCCAGTGCCTTGATCTGGAACAAAGTCGAGAACGAAGACATTATTCTTCAGCACTGCCTTGCCGATGTAGAGACCTCCTTTCCCGTGGTACAGCTTAAACTCCTGTATGGTGTTGTCTGCTTCAAGGTGGATGCCCTTCGTCATCAACTGGCTGACGCTAAGTAAGTTGTAGCCGAGTCCCTCCGCGATTAAAACCTTTGACATTTGTAGTATGACGTTAGTTTCTCTTGACCGAAGTTGAACGATGCCTTGTTGTCGTGTGCGCAGGTTCTGATTGTTGGTGACGGTGATGACTACTTCGCGTTGAAGTTGGTGTTCCCGTTGG